TCAGCTCTCAGGCAATATTGGAGTCCTTTGAGATTTGCAATGAAATCAAACATTGTTATGTTCTGGTGTTGATATTCTTTGGCATTTTCTTCTCCCTGGGAAGAGGGTGGGATGAGGATGCTGAGATTGCATGATCAGCCATGATTGCATTGAATGGTGGTAAAGGCATGAAGGGCCAAATAGCCTACTCCTGCACCTATTTTCTATATTTCTATGTAGTCCATGCCCCTATTAATAAAGTTAAGAACAACGTGTTTTACTTACTGCTGTGAACATATACACACAGGTCCCTCTGCTTCTGCCACCCCATTTAGAATTGTATCTCTTATTTTACATTGTTTTTCAATGTTCTTCTGACCAAAGTGCATCACCTCACATTTCTCCACATTGAAACTCATCTGCCACCTGTCGCCCTCTCTGATAGTTTTATATAAAATGTTCTTAAGCATTGAACCACTGCAGTCTATATGGTGAAGGTGCTTCCACAGTGCTGTAAGGCAGGGAATTCTAATTTACAGTGCCATTATAATCACCATTACTGGATTCAGGAAAATATACATCTTTAAATTAATTCCTCCGCTACTTTAAGGAGGTATTAACCCATTTATTGGAAACAAGTCAGTGTCCTTCTGGAGATAGCAGGAACTGCAGATGCTGGAGAATCTGAGATAACAAGGTGTAGAGCTGGATGAACACAGCAGGCCAAGCAGCATCAGAGGAGCAGGAAGGCTTCAGAAATTTCTGAAGAAGGGTCTAGGCCCAAAACGTCAGCCTTCCTGCTCCTCTGATGCTGCTTGGTCTGCTGTGTTCATCCAGCTCTACATCTTGTTATTTCAGTGTCCTTCTGGAGTTCCACGCTGTTTACAAATGTTCCAAGTTTAGCTTCATCTACTGTTTGGAAAGGTACTGGCATAAGTGAACAGAATCGAGCTGGTTAGGAAGAGCACCCTGAGAAACTACAGGCCAGAGAATTGTGCATTTTTGACCCATGTTTTTGTCTGCAGCACATGCAATGTAAACTGCCATGCTAGAGTGAAGTTTCTAAGCTACACAAGGCGATGCTTAACCCAGAGCTGACCACCTTGGTAAACACAATTGCTTACAAGATGCCACATCTGTGCAATCCATGGTACTTATGGTTTTTTGATCTCCAGACTCGCACCATTGGTCAGTTTATGGGGTGTGACTGTTGGTGTCTTGATTTGGTGGGTACATGGAAGGCTGATGTGCATGATACATGTGTGGTTGTCCATGATTGCAGCAGCAGAGGTGTGGGTGAGGTGATGGAGGAATAAAAATGAAATTAGTGGAAGCCCAATAACAACTTTATCTTGGGTGGAGCGGAGGGTTCAGGTGGGAAGGATGGGATGGGTATAGCACCTGAGGGGTTTGCATGGCAGCGATAGATGAGTTGGTTATAAAATGCCATGATTATTTGATATAACCTACTTTTGTAAATCACTGTGCTAAAAATGAAGATTTACCAGATTTTAATGAAAAGTTTCAGAAAATCAATCAAGTGATATCCCACCATTCAAACTTAGACTCAAGAAAGAAGGGTTACTGGACTCGTAAAATTAACAACATTTTTCTTTCTACAGATGCTGCCAGACCTGCTGTGTTTCTCCAACACTTTCTGTTTTTGCTCAAGAAAGAAGCAATTTGTTGACACAAAACTTGAATCCTAAACAATTTAAACTGCTTCAGTGGTAGACAGTCTAACAGCGAAATGTCAAGAGCATTTGTTCCTCAAATAAAACTGATTACACCACAAGCCTTTTCAACTTAGGGAAAACAGTTCCCAATTATTGTCTGCTATGACTACAAAAAATTTGCAAGGCCAGACCCTTGTGGTTTTGCACATTTTTCCCAATGAAAAGTTAAAGAGTTCTGTTGAAGTATTTGGTGAAAGAAAAACTGATGTACTGTTGTAATAAAGACCACAAATGTTTTTAACGTCTTTGATAGTTTAATATAAAACGTTTTAAGTATTGAACCACTGCAGTCTATATGGTGAAGGTGCTTCCACAGTGCTGTCAGGCAGGGTATTCTAATTTACAGTGCCATTATAATCACCATTACTAGATTCAGGAAAATATACATCTTTAAATTAATTCCTCTGCTACTTTAAGGAGGCATTAACCCATTTATTGAAAACCAGAATGTATGTCCACTCAGATAGTTATTAGGGAAACTGGTTGTCAGTGTTTTAAAATTATTTTATATAATTTTGACGGTGATAGAAAAGGGAGAACCAATTGATGTGATGTATTTATATTTTCTGTAAGTTTTTGATAAGGTCCCTCATAAGGGGTTAGTGGGCAAAATTAAAGCACATGGGATAGGGGTAATTTATTGATGTGGATTGAGAATTGGCTGACAGATAGGAAACAGAGAGTGAAAATAAAGGGGTATTTTTCCAAGCGGCAGGCAGTGACTAGTGGCGTACTGCAAACATTGATGCTTGATCAGCTATCTACAATATATTGAATGACTGGGAACAAAATGCAACATTCCCAAATTTGCTAATGACATAAAACTGGCCTGGATTGTGGTTTGTGAAGAAGAAGATGGAGACTTCACAGTGATTTAGACATATTGAATGAGTTGGCAAATACATGGCAGATGTAATACAATGTGGCTCAGTATGAAGTTGTACACTTGTGAAAAACAGAAAGAAAGAGCTTTTGTTTTAAATGGTGATATATTGGGTGTACAAAGGGATCTGGGTGTCCTTGTATATTGGTTGATGAATGTAGACAGGCAGCTGCAGTAGTAAGTAGAAAGGAAAACGGTACAATGCAAGAGGATTTGAATTCAGAAGCAGGATGTCCTACTGCAGTTATACAGGGCATTGGTAAAATCATGCCTGCAGTGTTCTGTGTAGATTTGGTCTCCCAACCTAAGAAAGTTTATACTTGCTATAGTGGGAGAGTGGAGGAGGTTTACTAGGCTGATAGCAGGGATAGCAGGACTGCCATATGAAGAGAGATTGGTTCAACTGGGGTTTGAATTCACCAGAGTTTGGAAGGATAAAAGAGGACCTGATTAAATTGTATACAATTCAAACTGGGCTGAACGGATTGGATCCCTGGTTAGAGAGTCAGAACTGGGGGCATAAACTCGGGATAGAAGTGGTGAGCCTGTGAAATTCTCTACCATAAAAGGCTGTGGAGGTCAAATCACTGAATACATTCAAGAAAGTTTTTTTAATTTTAATGGCATCAAGAGGTTTGGGTGGAAATCGAGAATATGGAATTGTGATAGAAGATCAGCCATGATCATGTTGAACGTTGGAGCAGGCTTGAAGGGCTGAATGTCCTTCTTGTGATCCTAGTTTCTAGGTTCCTCCGCCTTAAGGCTGAAAAAAAATTGCAGCAAGCTTATTGGTTCTATAATGAACAAACTCCATACCAAACTTCATCTCCAAAGTCAGTGAAGTAACACAAGATTTTCATTATTTCACTGCAAACTAGATGTTTAGGAAAGAAGTGCTGGGCTGGCTTACTTTGCACTGCATTTCTTGAAGCTACGCTTCTTTGCAGGCATCCTGATGACTGCCTTCGAGTTCTATGTTGGGCAGCCGTTTTAATAAGACAAAGATAAAATCACTTTTTATTCCACTAAGCCTTAATACACAGTAAAAACCAAGATTTAACTTGACAAATGGACTTTCTCCACTATCCCGCGATAACCAGCATGAACCTTCCCCATCCCTTATGATTCCCTTTCAAAATAAGTTTCTTCTTTTCTTTTCCTGATATGTCAGACTCATGCAGGGATGCAATTTCAGCAGATAGCTCTTGTTTCCTCAGTTTTAGGAACATAGGAAACAGGAATCAGCCATTGGGTCCATTAAGCCTGTTTTGTTATTCAATGGATCATGGGTGATTTTTTTACCTCTGTGCCATTTTTCTGTGACTTGAACATCCTTAATGACTTTTAAGGTGAAAAGAAAAAGAGATTTAAAAAAGACATGAGGCAAATGTTTTACATAGAGAGTGGTTTATGTGTGAAATGAACTTCCGGGGAGGTAGTGGATTGTGGGTACTCTTACAACATTTAAAAGACATTTGAATAAGTACATGTATAAGAAAGGTTTGGAGGGATATGGGCCAGGAGCAGGCAGATGGGACTAGTTTAATTTGGGATTATGTTTGGCATCGACTGGTTGGACTGAAATGTCTGTTTCCATGCTGTATGACTCGAGGACTGAGCTTCCTGAGATTCACCAGCTCGAGTGAAAAAAGCTTCCTCCATCTCAATCCTAAATTGCTTGCCCCCATGTTCTGAGTCTGTTTCCATTGGCTGCAGATGCTCACAGCCAGAAGAGGCATCTGCTTTTGCGAACTCTGTAAGAATGTATAATGCTTCAATTAAACTGTCTCTCATTCTTCTAAACCCTAGAGGTTACAGGTTCTTTCCTCACAGGTCAATTCCATCATCCCAGGAATCATCCGATGAATATTTGTTGTATTTCTCAGTGACAGGTATATCCTTCCTTCAGTAAGGACAGTCCTGAATCAAAAACTAGAGGCATGCTTTTAAGGAGAGAAGAGAAGCACTTACAAGGAATCTGAGGAGCAACTTTTTTTCCCACACAGAAGGTGGTTTGTCAGTGAAAATGAACTGCGACTGGAAGTGGTAGATGCAGGTACAGTTGCAACATTTAAAACACATTTCGACAGGTACATGAATAGGAAAGGTTTAGAGGGGTATGGGCCAAATGCAGGCAAGTGGGACGAGTTTAGTTTGGAAAACCTGGTCGGCTTGGACAAGTTAGACCAAAAGGACTGTTTCCTTGCTGTATGTCTCTATGTTGTAGAGTAGGCAATTTAGCGTTCTGGGGCACTGTCTAAACGAGTGCCTGAAAATATATTATACATCAATCTGTCTTGCAATTGTATTTGTAAAATTGGTTATTAAATAAATATATATTTCAGAGTTGGAGGTCCGGTGTTGTTTCATTCGATTATTTTCTCCCGACACACAGTGCACAGGCCCCTGAGTTGGCCACCTATTCAGCAAGGACCCCAGGCCGGGAGCAGCGGGGTCGGTGACATTGAGGAAGATGGAGCGAACAATGTGAGGGGATATCGGTGGCATCCTGCGTTCTACATCAGGTAGCGCGGCTTATGTTGACTCCGGGAGCTCGGGCGGTGCTGATTTTACCAATATTGCCTTTCGATGGTTCCCCGTGGCTGTTTGTTGAGCCACGGCGGGCAGGCTGGCTTTCGGGCCTAAAAGATGCGCGGGTGCAGGGCGTCCTGCTCGCTTTACGAAGGCGGGAAGTCGGTGAGGCCTCTCTATGGAGGTGCAGGTAAACTTGAAGTAGCTGCTGCAGTTTGCCGATAGTGGCGGCAATTTCTTTTTAAAACATCTTCAGGTAAATTGCCCGCTGCCATGCGCAACTTAGCTAGCCGTGTTAAATCTGAAAAGAGAGGGAACTGGAGCAAAACCTGCCAGCGCACAATTAGGGATCGAAATGAGTGGCGCTGCAGCCTCGGTTCACTGTGAAACTTCATGCAATTTATAGGCTTCACTTGTCCACCTCTTGTGCTGAGCATCCTCATCACTGAATAAAATAAGAAACATGTGGATTTGCGAAATGTTAGGAAGTGGCTTCTGCTAACCAGGTGCCCATTGTGAGCCATAATCTGCCAGATGCACGTCTTAAATATGGCCATAAGATGGATCTATTACACTTATTTTTCCCAATCCAAACCCTTAAGTTAGGGAAGGGTGGTTGTGAGTTCATATGTTAATCCGCTTTCTGCTGTGTCCGCTGTTCAGCTGGTTGAAGATGGCATGAGGGAGAACGGTCCTTGGACTGTGGCTGATCGCTGGGGGACAGAGGAGGTCAACGTTTAAGTTGTATTTGCAACAGAGTTCTTTCAGTTTGAATTTGGGGATGTTTGCCAAGAAAAAGTTCTAGGTTGATGAATCTGCTATTGGAATTAGGGTACTTGAGATTAGTATTGTGGATGCTGAGCTGGCTGCAAGGCCAGACTCCTTGATTCTACATAAAATGGCATTCATATAAGAATATGAATAAGAAAACTTGGTGGCCATTGGACCCTTCAAGTGCCTGTCTACCTTTCTGCAGCCCCACTTCCTGCTATTTACTTCTGGGCTCGGCTCCCCTCCCCCTCCCCCTCCCCAGTCTTGACGAAGAGTTTCAGCCCAAAACGTTGACTTTCCTGCTCTTCTGATGCTGTCTGACCCGCTGTGTTGTCCACCTCCACGTCTATTGACTCAGACTTCCAGCATCTGCAGTCCTTACTGTCTCCTGCTCTGCCGGTCATTGTGCAGTACCCAACAATCTATTGATTTTTTTTTTCTTGGATACACTCAGCAACTTGGTATTCAAGTTCTGGGGCAGAGAATTATAAAGATTCTTAGCCCTCAGTGAAGAAATTTCTCTTAATTGTGAGACTGACTTTGTGTTCCAGATTCTCCAGCCAGCAGAAACACAGTCTCCCCATCTCCCCTATCAAGGCACTTCTGAATTCTATATTTTAATTAGATCATCTCTCATTCTTCTAACCTTGCAGGGATCCATGCCTATTACTCAAATAAAGCTGTCATCAAGTAATATATTGGATCTCATCATCAATGTTGCTACTTGAAGGTTAGAATAGAACAATGGATCTATTGAAGACTTGGCAGAATTTATGCATTTTATGCAGTGTGAGACCTTTATTGATACAGATTAGTTGTGGCTGGAATAGATTTGTAGACAGATAAATGTAAAATCAGTACCAAATACAGAATTCCCCTTGATTCCTGTAATGGCGTAAACATTAGATTTTAGACTTTGTGTATGTCACATTTAGAGTATGAGATCTGTGCTTGCATTGTGTTAACTTTAAATTCTCAAAACTGTTAACCTTGTGTGCATTTAATTAAAATTGTGGTCGGAATCGTTAAAGATGTCTGATTTTCCAAACAGGATATAATGTAGCAGCTAGCTTTCCTCTTGGCATGTGCAATGAATTTTTTACATTTAACCATGATGAGCAATTTTGTTGAAACATTTAGAGTTTTGAATACCTATCGGCATCCCCTAAGTAGATATAGTACGTTTCTTAGTCAAAGATAGTAATAACTGCAGATGCTGAAGTCAGAGATAACACGTTGTGGAGCTGGAGGAACACAGCAGGCCAGGCAGCAGCATAGGAGCCGGAAGGTTGACGTTTAGGATCGTTTCTTCATTTTCTGAAGGAGGGTCCTGACCCAAAACGTCAACTTTCCTGCTCCTCTGATGGCCTAGCCTGCTGTGTTCCTCCAACTCCACACTGTCTTGTATCCATATTTCTTAGTCAGTGCTTTTTTGAGGCAGGCCTGTTTATGTTGACAGATAATGTTGGAATCTGCAAAACAGTGAGTTTTGCTGTGGTTTCTATTGTTGTGCGGCTATAATTATTTCCTCGCGAGTTTGGTTTGTAACTAGAATTCTTTGCTTTTTATTCAAGTATATGTTTGGTTGTGTGTCTTTGTTGCATACTTGCCCTTGCCCCCTGGTGGAGTCAGGTATGTTACCTTCGAAATCTGTTTGGTATTTGTGGAGTGTCAATTTATTAAACTGTTATAAAGCTGGCAATTCAAGTCAGTTTCCCAACCCAAGCTTTCAAGCTGACATTTACTAATCTTGCCTGAATTTGTTTCATGTTTCTATGTTGCTCCATTTCTGGTCTTCCACTCTGTCACCCAGGTGGCCATTTGTCATGTGAGCTTTTGAGAGCCAGTATGTTGCGTTATCCTGCTGTTTCTGCAACCTGACTTTTTTTTTCAAGCAGGGATAAATTAAATAAGAAGCAGTGGTGTGGAGACAGATGTATTTTCCTTTTCATACCCAGGACCATCATTACTCCTCATTTATTGCTCTGGTTGGGGTCAACCAATTTAGGATAGATGCAGCTCTTTGAACTTAATGCTTCAGAAAGCTACAGCTGGAGTTTTGAATCTCCCTTCACCCTGTATTTTTGTGGTGATGGCTTATTTTAGATCTTTCCTATCCTATCATTATGTTTTAGGGTGGTGTTTTCGTGGGAGAAAGTTGTTCCCAAACTGGGATTAAGGTGACATTTTCTTTTCAAAACTGAATGTGTTTGATTTGTAGATTTGCTATCTCTTGAAGTTGTAGTGTGAGAGCCAAATTACTGACTTTTAGTTGATTGCAAAAATATGTATTGGCTGATCAGTAAGTATGGATTTGAACTGAAGGCAAATTTTAAAAAGGGGTCTCACTCAAATATCTGTTGCATTCTGCTTCTGTCTTGTTAAGCTTTGGTTGATTGTATGAACTTCAGGATTTATATAGCTGCTCATTTGTTTCTTTTTCTTTTACGTTAGCAGCCAGTCTTTAATGCTAGAAGTTGGACGTGACCTTTTATACTTGGTGAATACACAGCCAATGCAATCATGTTTTTGTATAACCTGACTCTGCAGAGAGCAACTGGCATATCGCATGCCATTCATGGGAACTTTTCAGGTGAGGAACTGCAATTGGAACACATTGATTTGGCTTCTGCTGTTAATTATGTTTCACTTAACTTTCTGAAACTAAAGTCTGTTCAGAATTTCATCGTGCTATGTTTCCTGTAAATTTTCTTCCATCCTCTCCTGTAGGTGCTGCACTTAACCATTTCCTTTCAAGGGTCAGTGAACTGTGGCAAGCCCGATGAGCTCAATCTTACCCTGAGTAGTTAGGTCAGTCTGTCCCCGTGGACTGGCATTAAGAAATCTTTTGTAATAGTCTCTTTTAATTGTGCACTTTATGCAGTTGTAAGAAATTGGCAGCCGACTTGCATACAAGACATTTCCATGAACAATATGTGTCAGTAATTAGGCAGGTGTTTTAGTGATGTAGGGTGAGAAGACAGATGGGACCTTGGTTTAATGTCTTGTCACCTTTGCCAGTTCAGCATTTCCTCAGTACGATGCCAAAATGCTAACTTTGATTATGTACTTAAATCCGGAGTAGATGTTGAATCTGACATGAGCAAACATGTGACCACTGAGCCAAAGCGGACTTCTCTCACTTTAACATGGCCTGATTGACTCTATCTGCAAGATCAGAGACTTCTGAAAGTGTGGGTTTCTTATTGGCTGATATATATAGTGCACCTCTGCATCAAGCAGATCCATATAACATGAGTTATAAAGAAAGGCTGGATAGGCTGGGACTTTTTTCACTGGAGCCTAACCGGTTTAGGAGCTTAATAAAAATCAAAAGAACTGTGCATGCTGTAAATCAGGAACAAAAACAGAAGTTGCTGGAAAAGCTCAGCAGGTCTGGCAGCATCTCTGAAGAGAAAATCAGAGTTAATGTTTTAGGTCTGGTGACCCTCCCTCAGAAGGGGCTTACCTTGTAGAAGTTTATAAAATAACAAGGAGTATAGATAGGGTTATTGGTAGTTGTCTTCTCCCTAGGATGGGGGATTTCAAGACTCTGGGGCACATTTTTAAGGTGAGAGGAGAGAGATTTTTATAGAGGGTGGTTTGCTGTGGAATGAACTTCCTGAGGAATTGGTGGCTATGGGTATAATTACGTTTAAAAGACATTTGGATAAGTTTCTGAATAGGAAAGTCTTGGAGGGATATGAACCAGGAGCAGGCAGGTAGAACCAGTTCAGTTTGGAATTGTGTTTGGCATGGACTAGTTGGACTGAATGTTCTGTTTCCGTGCTGTATGATTCTTTTTAGCAAATAGACAGTGAATGCTTGCTGAATAATTTGGAATAACACCAAACCAACGATCAGATCCTATTTAATCTTATCCATTTTAGAAATTAAAGGAAATGCTTGATAAATTGTTTCTTTGTAAAAGACTTTTCTCCCCATGTTCTCAGAAAAAAAAGATAGTTCACAATCTTTTCTCTGAATCTCTGGTGGTAGAAATATATAGGCCAGGGTATCTCAGAAAGGAATGGGAGCTGAAACCACAAGTTACTGTTTGAAATGTAAAATTATCACTCATTGTATAGTGACCAGAATCTTGACTAGTCAGCTATTTGATCTACTTGACTTTGATAGCATCTTTTGATAAGTTCCATGCGACTTGTCCTTTCCTTGTAGCTTTTCCTGTTCAAGTACTTGGCTATTTTCTTGGCCAATTCGCGAGCTGTGATGGGCAGCCTGGCTTTTGAGCCTAAAGGAGCCGCAAGTACAGAACATCTAGCTGGCTTTGTGAAGACGGGAAGTCATTGAGACCTCTCAAAGCAGCGGGAAGTAAACTTGAAGTAGCCATAGCAGTTTGCCGTTGGTGGCAGCAACTTTTTTTATACATTTTCTCATAAATTGGCTGCTGCCCTATTCTAGTAGACCTTCCTAAAGTGCGCAAACCAGAATTGGATGCAATGTTCCAGTTGAAGTTTAATCAATGATTTGCAGAGATTCTTTTCCTCTGTACTTTTTAAACTACGTGTGATTTATGTAAGATAAATATGGGTTCCAGCACCATTAATTGTTATTTAACAGTTTTTGTCCCAGTGCGTTATTTGCAAACTTTGTGTAACTTTTTAATAATACCTTCATGGAATGGGCAGAGTCGATTGTGTTAGTAATGTCCTTCTGATTTGATGCTTGTGCATTTACTATAGGCACCAAAATGCAGGAGATTGTTGTGTCTAGGGGAAAGATCTTGGAGTTGCTCCGTCCAGATGCAAATACCGGAAAAGTTCATACATTGCTGACAGTGGAGGCCTTTGGGATAATTCGTTCTTTGATGGCCTTCAGGTTAACTGGAGGTACCAAAGGTAAGAAATTCTATAAATGTGTTGGTTATTTTAGCAAATTAAAATGACACCATTGACTTCCAAATGTCAAAACTGCCCGAGGGTACTTTTCCCAGCATGTGCATCCCTTAGGTGCCTCCTCATGTGGCTATTTGCTGTATGCAATCCTGGACAGCAAATGACAGGGAACTGTTTGACTATGAATGGAATCACACCTCAGCGTGATTCAGTCTTCTTTGATAAATGCTTTTCCTACATCAGGAGCAAGAACACTTCTTAAGATGTTATTCCTAATGGCAAGTTGGTGGATTCATGTGTGTTGTTCTGATTGAGCTCAATTAATTCTGTTCAGTTTCGCAGTTAGAGTCAGATTCCTCTTGCTTTTGCGTAGTTTAGGGCTACACTCATCGGTGTTTTGTGAATTGAGTGTATTCTGTGTGTGGGACTGTCCACAGATTGTGGTTCATCAAAATCATCAAAAGGTTGTTTAATTGTGGCTTCATGCATTTATAGTTATGCAAACAAAATAGTTTTTGATGAGGCTGGACGTAAAATAGAAAATAGAAGCAGAGTAGGCCATTCGGCTTTTCATGCCTGATCCACCATTCATTGTGATCATCCAACTTGGTAGCCTCGTCCAACTTTTCCCCATATCCTTTTATCCATTTAGCCCCAAATGCTGTATCCAAATCCTTTTTGAAGATGCATGAAAACTTGATCTGTGGTATTAAAGCATGTGGTAGGTGGGGCTTATAGAAAAACAATTGCAGGCTGTGCACCAGCTCCAATTATTTTGGATAATTAATTTCTAGGAAATAAAATTGATTTGTTTAATGTGCTAATCTGATCATTTAAAACACTGTAATCATGAAGTTAGAGTCCAAAATCATTCCACAAAAGGTACATGATATTGTTAGTCTTTCTCTTGATGACAATTTTAATATGTAACCTTGACCTTATTTAGATTGTTTTTAGCATTTCAGCAGCTATTCTGAATATCCTGCATATCGCAACCTTTAACTCCTGCATTCAGATTCAGACTGCAGTAGTAGAATGTAAGAAACTAAACATTCAAGGGTATGTTCCATTTTGAAAGGACAGACAGGAGGGGGAGTGTGGTGGGATGGCTTTGTTAGTATAAGATGGATTAGTATGTTATAAGGAAATTTATCTTGGATCAGATTACGTAGAATCCTTATGAGTGGAAGTAAGAAGTAACAAGAGGAAGAATCAGAAGACAAAGGTGGGAGTAATGTAAAGGCCTCCCCCAACAGTAGCTGTCCTCTAGGACAGAGAATAACTTGGACCATTGGGAGGGCATTTTTATCAAAGGCAGTACACTAATCATGGGTCAGTTTAAACTTCATGTAGATTAGGAAAACAAATTAGCAGAAGTAGCCACTCAGAAGAATTCATAGCATGTATTCGGGATAGTTTCCTGGAATAATATGTTTTGGATTCAACCAGGAATTGCACTTAGGTTTTTTTATTCATGAACGAGATGAGGATGTCGCTGGCTAGGCAGCATTTATTGTCCATCCCTAATTACCCAGAGGGCAGTTCAGAGTCAACCACACTTTGCTGTGGGCCTGGAGTCACATGTATACCAGACCAGGTAAGGATGGCAGTTTCCCTCCCTAAAGGACATTTGTGAACCAGGTGGGTTTTTTCCGACAATCAGCAATGGGTTCATGGTCATCATTAGATCCTTAATTCCAGATATTTTATAGAATTCAAATTCTAAAAATTCAAAATCTGCTGTAGCGGGATTTCAACCCGGGACCCCAGAATGTTATCCGAGTCTCTGGATTAACAGTCCAGCGATAATACCACTAGGCCATTGCCTCCCCTTAAATTAATTGAATGTGTAATGAGGTCCCGGAGGGTACAATGGCCGTAACATGGCAGCATTTAGCATTCAGGGTGAGAAACTTGGGTCAGAAGCAGCTGTGCTAAACTTAAATAAGAGTGATTTACATGGGAACGAGTGCAGAGTTGGCTGAAGTGGACTGGGAAAGGAGTTTAACAGAAAAAAATGGTTGAACATGGGCAGACATTTTTATAAAAAACCTGATTCACAGCAAAGAGATATCCCAGTGAGAAAGAAGGACTCTGGGAGTGGTTAAACTGATCACAGTTAAAGGGAAATTGGGGGCAATATCAAATTGAAGGGAAGAAACATACATTGGTGCAAAGATTAGTGCTAAACCACAGGAGTGGGAAGGTTTTAAAGGCCAACAAAAGATAACCAAAACAAAAAGAGGGAGAAAATGAACTGAGGGCAAATGAGCAAGTAATATAAAACAGGCAGTAAGAACTTCTTCAGATATAAAAAGGAAGAGAGAGGCAACAGTGGATGTGGGCCCCTCAGAGAATGAGGCTGGGGAATAACAGGGAACCAGGAAATGGCCGAAGAGTTGAACAACTAATTTATCAATCTTTATAGAAGATGATACTGACATTACCAAAGTACTGAAATTCAAGGGGCTAAAAGCTGGGGTGGGAAGGATGTAGAAATGTACATAGTAACTAATATGGGAGGAAAAGTTATAGGGAAACTAATGGGACAAAGATTGATAAGTTCCCTGAACCTGATGGACAGCATCCTAGGATTTTAAAGGAAGTAGCTGCAAAGACAGTGCCTGCACTGGTAGTAAGTAAACTTTCAAGTATCTTCAGATTCTGAAAAAGTTCCAGACGATTGGAAAACAGCAATGTAACACCCCCTTATTCAAAAAGTGAGAGAGTCAAAATAGTAAGTATAGGCCAGTTACCTTACCATCTGTTAAGAGTCTGTTGTAAACTCCAAGCTTCTAAATACAGATAATTGAGCAAAGTCAACATGCCTTCATGAAGGGGAAATCATGCCTGACAAATTTATTGCAGCTCTTTGAGGAAATAACATGTAGATCAGATGAAGGGCAATCAGTAGCTGTAATGTATTTGAATTTCGAAAAGACGTTCGATAAGGTACCACGAATAAAGTGTTGGGGGGGTAGTGCGTTTGGGTGGATAAAGGATTGTCTCAACAAATAGACAGAGCCACAGGGATCAGTGTTGGGCAGTTATTTGCAATATATGTTAATACGTAGGTGAGGAAAGTGAATGTGCTGTAGCTAACTTCGCAGATATCACAAAATTAGGTGGAAAGGTGATTGGTGAGGATGACAGCCTGCAGAGGGATTATAGATGGGCCAAGGAGTCAGAAACTTGGCAGGTGGATTGTGGAAAACTGTAAGGCTATGCACTTGGCAGGAAGAGTAAGGGAGCTGAATATTATTTAAATGGAGAAAGACTGCATAAAACCACAGAAGAGGGGGATTTTGGAGACCTTGTGAATGAACAAAATGCTTGCAGCCAAGTTCAGCGGGTAATAGGTAAGGCAAATGCAATGTTTGCCTTTATTTCAGCGGGGAATGAAGAATAATCATCGTCGTAGAATCGTCGTAGAATCATCATAGAATCCCTACAGTGTGGAAACATGCCATTCGGCCCAACAAGTCCACACTACCACTCTGAAGAGCATCCCACCCAGACCCATTCCCCTGCCCATTTCATTTTATAAATGTGGCCCAAATATACAGAGAATATAAAAAGACTTAGGTTTGTAAAGCGCCTTAGCAGGTTTTTTCAGTGGTCTTAAAGCAACTGAGCAATCAATTACTTTGAAGTTCTGTAGTGGTAGGGATCTTGAACTAAGCTTCATTTCAGATAGTAAGAAGCTTTTGTTAATACTATACAAGACATTAGTCACACCAAGGCTGGAATACTCTGAACAGATTTGGGCCCTTTGCTTCATCTGTCTGTATCCCTCTGCAGACTCTTCTATTAGTTAGCCAGTCCTCTATCCATGCTGCTATGCTACCTCCCAACATGATGACATCTTGTTTTATTGAGTAGCCTACTCTGTGGTACCTTATCAAATCCAAAGATATTACATCCACTGCTTCTCCTTTATTTATCCTGCTTGTCTGCTCAAAGAATTCTAGTAAATTTTTCAGGCATAATGTCCCCTTCATGCATAAAGCTATGCTGACTCAGCTTGATCATGTGCATTTCTAAATGCTTCATTATTGCATTCTTTATAATTGACTCTAAAGTTTTCATAATAACAGGTGTTAAGCTAACTGACCGATATTTGACTTTCTTGTCTCCTCCCCTTTAGGTAGTTTTCTAACACTCTGGGACTTTTCCAAAATGTAGGGATTCCTGGAAGATTACCACTGTTGCATTCACTTTCTGTGTAACTACTTCCTTTAATATCTTTGTATTCATTCCATCGAGTCTAGGAACGTAACACTCTTATCACAATTTTCTGTAATGGTAGTGACTATGTTTATTTCTCCCTTCTGCCCCTTGATTATGTAGTAATTTTGGAATGCCTCTTAGTATCTTCTACAACGAAGATGGCAAAGTATTTATTCAAGTCCTTTGCCGTTTCTTGGTTCCCCATTATCATTTCTCCAGCCTTGTCTCCAAGGGGCCTGTGTTCACTTTGGCTTCTTTCTTTTTAGATATTTAACAAAACCTCTGCAGTGTGTCTTGATATTGCTTGTAATTGCCTAATATTTCTCTCAAAAGTTTTATTTCTTTGGTCATTTTTTTCCCCCTAAAACACAAGTGAACCAATTTGACTTTTGTCTGAAAGCTTTGGGATCACATTTTAGTGTTTTTTCTTTGTTTAGAGATAATTACAGTTGAATTTGTGTTCTGAAGCAGTTGCAGTGGGATTTTGAAATATTGTTCAGGAGCCCAACCCTCTGGATCACTAGTCCTGTAGTGTTGCTATATTGAAGGATCCAATCTCCTGGAGCAACTAGTTTCCAGAGATGTGCAGGGTAGGGAGATTAGCCATGGTAAATGTGGGGTTACAAGCATAGGTTGGGGGCTGTGTCTGGATGGCATGCTGTTTGGAGGATTGGTGCAGATTCGATGGGATGAATGGCCTCCTTTCTGCACTGTAGGGATTCTGTGATTCTATAACTGCACTCTAAGTTTCTCTTGATATAATCATTCCAGTTTATCTGCTTAAATACATTGCAAGCAATATTAATTTTTTTTCTTCACAGATTACATCGTAGTGGGTAGTGACTCTGGTAGGATTGTTATTCTGGAGTATCAGCCATCCAAGAATATTTTTGATAAGGTCCATCAGGAAACCTTTGGCAAGAGTGGATGTCGGCGTATTGTACCTGGGCAGTACCTGGCAGTTGATCCAAAAGGTCGTGCTGTTATGATAGGTGAGTAGTAGAGTAAATGCAATGATTGATGCTGTACAGAAGAAAAGGAGCACACCATTCATTGACTCAAGGCTTCTTTACCGTTAAGTTAGATTATGACTGATCTATATTTTACCTCCTATTTAACTGTCTGGAATCCCGTACATGTTGATACCCGTGGATAAATGACTTAAATCTGAGCAATCTGTTTAATTGACCAAAGATATCTATATTTTCTAATCAACCTGTTCAGAGATGTTATTATACACCTCTGGAGCAGGTGAGACTTGAGCCAGGTCTCCAGGCTCTGAGGTAGCTACACTATCACTGCCCCATAAGAGCCGCTTGACGGAAAGGTATCACTTAGCATTTTGAAGTAGATCCACTGGAAAACCATTTGCATTTTGCAGCAAGGTACGGCAATCAGATTTGGGAAGCCTAGATAATTTCTCTTTGCCTCCCTGATCCTGATAAGTTGGGGACATTGAGGACAGCAGCAATAATCCTTGATGAGACTGACTAACGATGCAAAGCAGAAAAACATGTAGTACTTGCGGCTTAGCATTATTCCAGATGTGCATGTATCCACCATGTCTCTGGGGAAGCTGGAAATGTTTTTAAGGGGCAAATAGACTAATTACTGTGCTTGCACTGAGCTTTGCTGGAACACTGCAGTAGGCCAAGGTCAGAATTCTGAGCATGAGAATAAGGTGCTGAATTAATTTGGCGTACAACCTTAAACTCAGTGTCATGCTTACGGACTGAATGGCGGTATTCTGCAACGTGGTCATTGTTCAAAGTGGTGTGCTCAATGGCTCTGATTACTTGCATGCAAAGGCACATACAGCACATGGAAAGGTCACATGATTATCGTGAGCCAGCCAGGTAGTGTACTAGGGATATAATTTCTCCAAATATCCCCCTTTAAATTTCTCTCGAATGTTTGTTGGTTTTATCATTTGCAGTTGCAAGTTACATTATTACCTGATGTACATGGTTTAAAAAGAAATTATTATTAATTCACAGAACAATATGTTAATGCTGGTCATTTCATTTCCTTCAGTCTCTACATATGCATTGGATGCATAAAGCCGAATATAATATGATCAGTTCTGTCGAGTTCCATGAACACTTTTTTTCTGTCTGCAAGGTGTAGTGAGTTTTCTCGCCCTATCATTCTAAACTTGCCTCGTTAACTACCTATCACCACCCTAGTGGTGCCGCTCGTGTCCAATATTATCCCAGTTCTACTACTTGCTGTGGCTAGAAGAACACGGAAGAATCAAAGTGTAGATCAGCATTATTGGTCCCTGTGCCCTCTTTAAGTCTGGTTGAGCATTTGGCCAAGTGATAGCATTCTGGAGTTGCCCATTGTTGGCAACATAGTGAAGCAGCAGCTGTAAACACACACACATCTTCGTATGTAACTGGCATATTTGACATTTCCTCAAACATTTCCTCTTTTGCTCCAACTGCTGTCGAATTAGCAAACTGCACAGCTGCCTATTCTACATCGCATCTTACCACTCTCTCTAAATCATTGCTACACCGTCCCTTATGCCCAATGTAGTCCAGCACTCATGCTGTATGACTCTACATAACTTTTATTTACAATCATCAAAAACGAAATTTCACCTACCCAAAACAAATCAATTGCTTGCTTGATGAGACTGACTAATGGTATAGAACAGACAGAACGCGTTAGTACATATAGCTCAGCAGTATTCCAGCTGTCACCACACCTTTGGGAAGCTATGTATATTTTTAAGGAGCAAATTGTGTAATTATTGTGCTCTGTGGTTCCATATCTTCCATGATTTGTTTCAGGTGCCATTGAAAAGCAAAAGCTGGTCTACATTCTGAACAGAGATGCTGCTGCTCGCCTCACCATCTCCTCCCCTCTGGAAGCACACAAAGCAAATACATTGGTGTATCATGTGGTCGGCGTGGACGTGGGGTTTGAAAATCCTATGTTTGCTTGTCTTGAGATGGACTATGAGGTATTTTCCTCGTTTTGGCGCATTGATGTTATTGGATATAACTATTGTAACATTCTAGAATGAGCTTTAAATATACTAGAGACAGGTGGTGAAACTGTTTTGAAATTCTGTGGATCCGGAGTCTGAGGCATTATCACAAATCACTGGACCTGGTTGAGCTATCTCACAATAGACTTGAATTGAACCTGAAATTGATAGTTTGGTTCAACATCAAATTAGGTATTTTTTGCTTATGCTATTGCTTGCAGTTTGTAATCTAATACCAATAGCAGATTCCAACAGCACCAACTCTTGGTGATTGTGTAAGTACTTTAATTGAATTAACATTGCCCACCTCCTCTAACTCTCTTCCAAACCTTTAACCCTCTACACTCATTTGGTCAAGGCTTCCACTCCTGATGGCAGTTCAGTGACCCCGGCCTTGCCCTGTGTAGGGATACCTAGTGAGGAGTGGATCAAGCTTGGTTCTACTGCTGATAAAATGATGTGAATCATGTCTCTTCTCCGAAAAATATTTGGGGAAAGTTTTAGTTCTCTGATTCAGCAGTCCATAAGCTTTCCACTTGCTTGATGTTTCTCTGTCAAAGATACTGTATAAATACTAGCTGCTTTTGATGATAGATGGTGTTTGTGATAAGTATATTAATCTTCATTGAATTCACTGTATCAGACATTCTCCAACAGTGGAACATTCTCAACATGATGTGATGAGGAGAAAAACAACATGAGTCCTGGCCCCTCTTACCTGTTGTCCACATTAATTATGGTGAAGCATCTTTATAACAAGTTTAGCTAAGATTTTGCAGTCTTAAATAAACTGGAGGTTTCCTTCTATTTGTAGGAGGCAGATAGTGATCCCACTGGTGAAGCAGCTGCTAACACTCAACAGACGTTGACATTCTACGAGTTGGATCTGGGTCTGAACCATGTTGTGAGAAAGTACAGTGAGCCTCTGGAGGAGCATGGCAACTTCCTAATTACAGGTATGTGGTCTGTGCTTTTGGTGAAATACAGACTGTGTTAGGATACATAATGACTTTTTTTTACAAGGACTCCTCTCAAAGGCTACCTCTTCATTCTCATTAACTCCTTTAGTAAGATCAATATGGTTCAGCTCAAAGCTATATTCAACCTCACAATTTGAAAATGGAAAATCTTAAGGAAATCATTGACCTACTGATTTATGGCATTCAGACAAGGCAGCTATGGAACTCTGACCCATGGTCTGTACTCAAAATGTTAACCTGCCCCTTTAGATACTGAAGGGTCTGCTGTGTGTTTCTCCAAGTTTCTGTATTAATTTCTTGTCCATTTATCTTAAATTACTTCCTTTTTTTAGAAAAAAATCTTTATCCTGTGCATATTTTAAAATTAAAATAGGAGACTCTGTCCTTGATTGAAATATTTAAGTTGAAATCTCTCTCTACTTCAGTTCCAGGAGGCTCTGATGGACCAAGTGGTGTACTCATCTGTTCTGAGAACTATATCACTTATAAAAACTTTGGGGACCAGCCAGACATCCGATGCCCCATCCCCAGGAGGAGGGTAAGAAATTGGTTAACTTAATGCATTCTTGCAGTATGCTGATAGGCTGAAATATAACATTCATAGTTAAGGCTCAAAAATATTTCAGTTGTATTGTATGTAACACTTCTCGAATTCTCAGATGAGTTGAGAATTTCACAGCTTATTGAACTATATTATTGATTATGTTGGCTACCTTCCTGAAACAGCAAGAAGTATTGATGAAGTTGATAGAAGGTTGGCTTGCGTGATGGACTGGGCTGTGTTCACAACGCTCTAGTTTCTTACAGTCCTGGGCAGAGCAGTTGCCATACCAAGCTACGATGCATCCAGATAGAATGCTTTCTCTGGTGCATCTATAATAATTGGTAAGTGTCTTTACAGACATGCTGAATTTCTTTAGCCTCCTGAGGAAGTAGAGGCATTGTTGTGCTTTCTTGACCATTGCATCAACTAGGGTGGTCCAGGACAGATTGTTGGTGATCATCACTCCTAGGAACTTGATGCTTTTGACCATCTCCACCTCAGCTTTAATTATGTAGAAGGTGCCCTCCACCTTGCTTCTAGAAGTCAATGACAGCTCTTTCGTTTTGCTGATGTTGAGGGAAGAGGTTGTTATCTTTACACCACACCACCAAGCATTCTAACTCTCTCCTCTGTTCTGTCTCCTCATTTTATAGAGAATATTTGATTTGGTTATTTTGTGTTTGGTCTGCCGTGATCCTTGTTGAGGGAGGAAATGGCTCCATATATTTCAGATTTGTAGTATTAATCCCCTGGTCTGTTATGAATTTGCTTCATTTAGCTACTGGCTCCCTGAGCTTGGAAGGTTAAAATTACCTGGGTTTTCTATACTTAATCACTATGCAGTTATCCCTAATAGAAGCACGGCATGGGAGCATGTTTTGTTTTTGTGTCCTGTATCGCAACATACTACACATTGCATTTTAAATATGGATATTTTCCCTTCCAGAATGACCTGGATGACCCTGAGAGAGGAATGATCTTTGTCTGCTCTGCCACGCATAAAACAAAGTCCATGTTCTTCTTCCTGGCACAGACTGAACAAGGTGACATCTTCAAAATTACTCTGGAAACGGATGAGGACATGGTAAGGAGATCTGCAGATTAGAAATCCTGGTTTGGTGGCTCACCAGTTATAATTAAAAGTTTTGTAGGAAAATAAACTTTGCAAACGTTTTTATGCTTTTCTCTGGCTGAAGAAATTCCTTCTCATCTCAGTTCTAAAGGGTCATCCCTTCATTATGAGGCTGTGCCCTCCATTCCTGGTCTCTCCCATCAGTGGAAACATCTTATCCACGTCCACCGTAGCCAGACACTTCAGTATTCTGTAAGTTTCAATCAGAGCCCCCACATTATCCTTCCAAACTCATCAAGTACAGACTCAGAGTCCTTAACCATTTCTCATATAAAAAGTCCTTCATCCCTGGAATCATTCTTGTAAACCTCCTCTGGGCCCCCTCCAATGTCAGTGCATCCTTCCTTAGTCATACGGTCCAAAATTCACTGCCAGCTCAAGCTAATGACACTTTTTAGAAAACATTGGATCATACAAACAGCTGTTTGCTGCAAATTCCAGTTTCTTTTGGAAGTAAAAATTGGTGACTTCTCATTGTTTGTTGTGAATTACAAAAATGAGTAAACTTTTGAGTGCGTTACATTTTTCTTGAAAGGAATAATGGATACTTCTAATTTTGTTAATTTTACAGCCTTGTTTCTGTTTTCTTGCCAAATACCTGTTTTCATTTGACAAGTGACTCTATAAAGACTTGAAATAATGCTCAGATGTTAGGAGAGCTTTCTTAGTTCCTCATGCTGTGTTGAGGAGGGAGCATTTAGAAACAAAAATGACAGTTCCTTTTATTTCTAGTCTCGTTATATTTATCACTGTCTCTTTCGTGCTCCATGCATACCTCCCTTTCCTCTCTCAGCATTGATGCCCTGTTTTATAAAGCGATTTTCTTTTTTTTTTCTGTATATTTGCAGGTGACTGAAATCAGGTTGAAGTATTTTGACACCGTTCCTGTGTCAACTGCTATGTGTGTACTGAAGACTGGATTCCTCTTTGTTGCATCAGAATTTGGCAACCAGTGAGTGTGGACCGTTTTACTGTTGATCACATTAGAATTTGCAGTGATTAAATATTTTCTTTGTTACCCACGTCTTTGTCCTACGACTTATGGCCAAGATGATGATTAAGTAGTTGCTAGAAGATATTTGACAATGCTGCTCTGTTATTGGCTAATGAAAGTGGCTAACTGTTGGAATTCCGTGGACAATGTCCAATGATTTCACAAATCATTTGGACTTCATTGTATATTAGGAGGCCTCAAGGTCCGCTCTTATAGGTTTAACCCAGCTTCACATCAATTTGTATTGCATCTAAAATAGAGCGTGTGGCCTTAACTTTGATCATGAGATTTTTGGGCCTTAGCCAGCACATAGTCCACATTAGGCTGTTTTGATGTAATTAGTAAAGAATTTAGCATTGTGGCTTATAAATGTATTTCTGGCACTAAATGATACAGCACAAATGTACGGTGGGCCATTTGGTTCATTGTGTTTGTGTTCCCTCTGAAAGAACTGTCCAGTTAGCCCCGTATCATCATTCTGTCCCTTTGTAAATATTACCCATTGAAGTATTTTAAGTTTCATTTTGTTTGAGTTACTGCTGAATTAGCTTCCAACATTCTGCCAGGTCATGCATTTAAGATCATTTGTAATTCATTGTCTAATATTTTGTACCCTTCGTGTAGCCTTTCTACCAGTTACCTTGGAGCATCTTGATGATTATATTTAGTGGCTGTCACTTTCTTTGCTTATTACCAAGAAAAGTAGGTTGTTAAATTCTTCCAGTCTGTTCGCCACTCAGTAATATGTGGCTGACTGATAGTTCAATTCCATTTGCTTGTCTTTGCACCATGCCTTTCAATACCCATCCCAAACAAAAATTATCAATCGCAATCGTACAGTTTCTCTTGACCAGTATTTACGTTTGTTTTTTACATTTTGAATTTGATTACAAGTCACAACAGTGGTCGTGCTTTCCTCTCCTCTCCCCTGAAACCCCTTTGCCTGCGAGCAGTTTAAAATGTGCAACACATCACTTTTAATCTCTTAGATGTATTTTTGTTTTTAACTTTCTTCAACTTTTCCCTATTATCCCTTGAGGAGGTAGGTAACCTGAGATACTCTTGAACTAGTGCGAGCTGTCACCTCATTTACCAACTCATTTTAGTAACATCTGCGGTGTCTCTGACTTGGATTGTATTGCTGGTTTTTGATAAGAAATTGGATTGTCATATTCTGTTAATTCTCAGTATAGTTTTTACAGGGTATATAAAGCATATCTAGGGATTCTATAGTGAAATTATCAGTGGCTTGATGTCGTCCTGATCAACTAATGCAAAGTCAGTGTAAACAGTAATTGTTGATGTTATTTTTCTATATAAAAGAGAACACCTTAATCTTCACAAAGCTAAGTGCTGCCTTTCGTGTTCCAGTTACCTTTATCAGATTGCACATCTAGGAGATGATGACGATGAGCCAGAGTTCTCCTCAGCCATGCCCTTAGAGGAGGGAGATACATTTTTCTTTCAGCCACGACCCCTCAAGAATCTGGTACTGGTGGACGAGCTGGACAGCCTTTCACCAATTCTAACATGCCAGGTATGAAAATGTAATTCCACATTCTTTACTGGAGCTGAACACTTTCTTTCACCAACTACTTAACCGGATTGTGTGGGTTTGCGCAGTTAGTTGTTTACATTGACAGAGCCAATGACTGACATGGATGTGTGACTAAATGATCTGAGTTCATGCCTCTTCTCTGAACGGCATTTGAGGAAAGTTTTATTTTCTTATTCAGCTGTCCTGAAGTTGTCATGCCAGTTATCTTTGCCACTGATGTTTAGCTATCGCTTATGTTATCATCTGCAGATTGCTGATCTGGCTAATGAAGACACACCTCAGTTATACGTTGCCTGTGGGAGAGGGCCGCGGTCATCATTGAGAGTCTTGCGGCATGGTCTTGAGGTATAATATGTATTAAATTATTTTGAGTTGTAGGAGGCCAACCACTACAATGTTTCCTGGTTCATGTGTTGATACAGACATCCTGTAATTGAGTCATTCCTACTGGAAGGTCCCAGGTTTCATCTGTGCTGTTTGGTTCACTTATCTCAGTTGAGAAGCAGCAGTGAGGTTCAGTGTGTCAGGGACTTGAAGTTAGGGACAGTGAAGAAAACTTGATCAAGGTTTCCATTCCAGGTCACAAGTAACAGCAGGGGTTACAGAACTATGTAATCAGAAAAGTTTTAAGGTTGGTTGAGCATTGTTTGTGCTGCTGATTAAATGATGTGATTCATGTCTCTTCTCCAGAAAAAAAATATGGGGAATACTTTCAAGTCTCTGATTCAGCAGACCACGAGCTCTCCACAAACTTTCATTTGTCAACTGTTTATGTTGGGAAAACACAATTTTCCTCTGATTAAATATTAGGAAATCTGAAACCTTTGTTTTCCATCTCTGTCAGAATCTCATTTCCTAGTTATATGCTCCATTTTGTCATGTTGGTCCTCTTTGACCACTACAAGTTATTTGAACGCTCCTTTGAAACAGGCAGTGACATTGATGAAAAACAGAACTTGCTGCAGAATCTCAGTGGTCTGGCAACAGCTGTGGAGAGAAGGCAGAGCTAACATTTCAAGTTCAGAACACTGAAGGAGGGTCACTGGACTCAATGCTAACCCTGCTTTCTCTCCATCGATGTCAGGCAGACCTGCTGAGTTTCTCCAGCAATTTCTGTTTTTGTTTGCTTTCCAGCATCTGCAGTTCTTTGTTTTACAGTAACGTGCTAATTTTCTTCCCAAACCCTCATCATTGACAGGTATCAGAAATGGCTGTTTCAGAACTGCCTGGTAACCCAAATGCTGTATGGACTGTAAGACGACATGTGGAAGGTATGGCTTGAATAATGCGTGGAGCAGAAATCCTTTTGGTCATGTGAAGTAATGTTCACCCAGTCATGTCTGACAAGTGCATTGTACTGGCAACTAATCAAATTCATGTAATTTCTAGAAAAATATATTTGTAAGAAAGCAGTAAATCTGGTCTCATTGCCATGTTGCATCAGTGAGCATGCACTGTTTAACTCATTGAGCCACAACCCACAAGTGCAGGTTTTGTTTTTTTAACTTTTAATGTTTTACTTCCTCATTAAGTAGAACTATGTACAGCAATTTAAATAAAATGTACATAAAACAAGCACAGAAACAGCTAGAAAACAGAAAAAGCAGCTTGGTTGTATGGAGGATTGTTCACTGTTTGCCATTCTTTTACTTTCTCTCATCACCTCAACTTGCATATTTTGTTAGCTATGACCAAGTTCCAAAATTGATTGAAGACTGAAGAATTAAACACTTCTGAACTGCAGTGCAGTTCAAATCTATAGATGTCAAAAACATATGTAGTCCTTTATTTTCGAAAGTTACAGGTGGATTAACCCAAGTAATATTGATCTGGCACTGAAACACGTTTCAGGTCAGATTCTCTTCCATCTGAAAATCTTGCATTTTTGAAGAAGATGATGAATATAGTTTCTTTTATTTAAATGTATTCATTTCCACTCCTGGAAGTTTGCATTGATTTTCATTTCAGTGGGAGTTTTTTCCACCTTTTTTCCACCGCTTTCTTAATAGCGCTTGCTCATATTAGAGTATGGTTCAGTTCCACAGGTACTGACAGTTCTCCACTCTTGCCTATATGGCCTTTATTCATGTACCAGTTAAATAGTTGTCAGTAGTACTGCACAGTATGGTATTGCGGTGCTGACATAATCCTGCTTTTGTCCAGAATCTGTGCACTTACACTTTTTAGCTTCTGCCACTATGTGGCAGGAATGACTGAGCTATTGGTAGAATTTCTCTCTCTAGCACAGTACATTTCACTAGGTGGTTGTATTCTTTGCCGTCCTCTAGAGGTTAGGTAACTAAGTGCAAATTGCTGTGAATTCTTTCATTGTGTTTCTTGTAATTTGTGACGTACAAATATGCAAACTGCAATAATGATTTCTTGGGCTGGGCACATCCTGTAAATGATCAAACCCTGTGAAAGTTGAATGGTCCTGGTTATGTTTTACAAATTAGAATAATTGATAATCACTGATTCCAGACTGTAACCCAGAAATATTGGGAAAACTTTGGGTAGAAGATTACTTTTGCGATATGTGTAAATTTGCCAGGATTTGGTTGGGAGTGCATTAAACCTCCCTACAATAATCCTAATGCTAGTAGATGTTACCATAATGGAAAAGCTGAAGTGATGACTTGTTAATGAGAATCAATTCAC